TCAGAATTTCGGCAGGTGCTTCATCGAAAGTGACCATCTTTGTCATTATTTGTTTGCACTTTTACGAGAAAAATTAATGAAAATCATCGTCATTTCTTTCAAAATATTGCCGGCTTCGAGTGAAAACTTTGCGCAAAAATGACAAAACGTCTCTGGCTACACTACTGATAGTAATCTCTCTTCCACGGCGTACAAAACAATAGTTAAAGTTCTGCAGGACGAGTTTTAGCTGCTAAAATCCAAAGCTGTTAATGAATGATTTTGCAGCTGCATATAGTACCAAAAACACGGGTTGTGAAGCTCGCCTCACCAGCTTTCTATTACAAGGGTGGCACATGCAGTAAGAACAAAGAAACGAAGGGCAAAGATGGCAGCTATCAGGTAATCGAAGACTTCCTACACAGATCTCATTGGCAGTTGTTTCATTCTTTGTTAAGATTCCTACATTGCGTGACAATTACTTTTGACATGGAGGGTTACTTTCGACGGTTATGCCACTGCAATAAACCAATTCAAATTTTCGTGCGTTTTCGATGTCAGTACTTTGTTGGGCTCGGAAACCACCAAAAGATTTATTTGTACAAACAAAATAATACAGAACACTAGGCTAATACAAAAACAGTCCTCAGTATCTCCACTCAATCCCACAAAATGCACAATCCCATTGCTGACGGCTTGGACGGCTGCGGTGGCGACTATCCTGCTGGCGATACTGTTGTCCCAATCATTGTCTCTGTTTTATGTGGACAAATCATCTGCCAGGTTTTTTGTAAAGCAGTGCTTCAAAGCCCTTTTTACCAACGTGATTTATGCCTTTAATTTGAGCATACTTTTGAAGCAAGTCCGAAAAATAATGCGAGTTATTTGCACTGCACTGCAGCTGTTCGTGAACGGATATTCAAATGCATGCGATGTTGTGCCACAGTGGACCAAAGAGGGCACCACATGTCCGTTATCTGCCGAAGAAATCGAACGCTTCAAGTATCTTTTTCAAAAACTATGCGTGCTCGACTACGTTATACGGAATACAGATCGCCACATGGAGAACTGGCTCATTAAGTTTGTTGCTTCTTGCTCTTACTGTGTACCCAAAAACGTCAAGAACAGGAAGAAAACGATAATAGCAAACATTCGCACTCGGTCCGACCTCTGGAACTGCTACTGTGATACCTCGATAGGACTCTTGTCACTTGCTTAAATTCGCATATACAAACATTTATCGAATTAATTCTGCATTATCTGCAATTTGTGAAACTTAAATTTCTATGGAAAGAAGGAGATGGAACTGGATAAAAACAAAAATAAAGAATGAGCTGAATTTGGTACTCGGCGCAGCTATGCTTTTTTTTTCTGCAGAAAACTGTTGTGGATGCTCAGACTATGAATGCTATAGTAAATGCGAAACTC